ATGTCTAACAATAAAATATAAATATACAAAATATAGATAATGATATTAATCATGTTTCGATATATGTTAAGTAAATTTAAATTAATAATGAAACAGATTTTTTGATTATTAAAACCGAAAATGAGATTTCATTAATCACTTAAAATTTTATATATTATTTATATTATTATATTATATATTATTTATATTATTATATATATTATAATGTCAGTCATTTTATTTACAAATATGTTTCCGAAAATGCAGAAAATATCTATCGATGATTAATTATAAAATTGTAAAAGTCAAATATAGAATTTTTTATTGTAAATTAATTTATATTACAAATATTTGTAGCATAATTAAAAAACGATTAAAAATGATAAACAAAAAATTAAATTAATAAAATTTAAACATTATTTATTTTTATTAAAGATATGAGAAGTTTATAATTTTTAATAATTTTGAAATTCGTCATGAATCATTAAAAATTTAATCGAAATAATAAAAAATTATAGAAGAAATAAAAGTTTATTATTATTTTCTTTTTCAAAAAGTTGAATTTAAAATTATTAATATCTTTCAATAAAATGTCAATTGAATGTTGCATTTAATGCAAAAAATTTTCAAATTTAATTTGTTGAAAAATAAGATTTTGAATGAATATATTTTATTTCAAATCTTTTCTTCATTATAAACATTTATTATAAACATTTGAAATAAAAGTCACGAAGCGAAATAGCAGAATCAAAAATGATCCTGTTATATTCAAACTTATCAAGTTTTATTATCAAATTATTTCGTTATCTAATTAGCGACTGCTAAATCAACTAAATGAAAAATGACAGCATGAACGATCTAAAGAAATTAGAGAAACGATCCTTGTGGAAAACAATGAAGGATCCATGGATTTCGCCAAACGAGACGTAACAGTGGTATGTCCGAGTGTCTGGAATTCACCTCATCTATGACAGGATCGACGAATTCGGGGCCTCTGCAGCCCCAAAAGGATTCCTCGCCACTTCTGGCACGATTTTCTCCTTTCGATCTCTATTCGACACCAGAGAGCCCGACGCTTCGAGGTCACCATCAACGACTCTCTCGAAAGATGACATTGACCTCGTCGAACGGCCAACCGATACAGCTCACTCCTCTTTGGGAACACGTGGTTCGTATAATTGTTATAATGTACGTTATAATGTATCTTGTATTTAATGAATCAAATAAGATTATTTGAAATACATATTTTTAAATTTATTAAAATAATTTAATTAGAAATAAACTAAAAAATATAAATTATATTAAATAGTTATTTTTTATATTAATCTCAAGTAGAATTTTTTGTTTACTATAATCTTATTAATTGATTTAATATTTAAATAACTCGAAATTATTTAATCTTCGTTAGTTTTGAAATTTTTATTTAACAAATGCATCATAATAAACAAAAGATATTCGAGGATTGATATTTTTTATATATATATTTCTTTTCATTTATTGCATTTCAGGTACGCACTAGAAAATTTCCAACTGACGTGGATACCCGTTCAACATTCTTGGAAATATCTGATAGATTACGTGATCCAGAATGGGAAGTGCGTCAGCACGCTCTTCGTGTGCTTATAGATGTGTTACCGACTTTGAATGCTGACATCGTGGACAAGGTCATGCAACCAGTGGTACCAGAGCTAGTCAATAATTTGGGTCACCCTGCACCCGCCGTTCGCAAGGGTGCCTTGGACGCCTTCCGAGTTTTCCTTATTCATAGTCATGACAGAGAAAATACTATTAAAAACGTAAGAATCTTATTTGATGATATACTTCTTTTTAATTTTATTTTGTAACATTAAATTTGAATAAAAATCATACATTCGTAGATATGCGTATGAAAGAGAGTTAATTTATTATAAGTTACAGGATTTATTATATATAAATTATATTACATATAAACTAATAAATTTAATAGCATTTCACGAATTATCCATCTTTTCCATCTTCATATTATTCATGATATATTTTAAAATTTTCGGCAAACATATCAGATAGACAGGTCCGTGCACAAACAATTTCTGACCTTGCAATCTCCCCACTATCTTATATATCATCATGGATCGATATCTAAACGCAATTGTATCGATCGTTCTCTTGCAGATTCTTGAAGATGGCCTAAACCGTTCAGAAGTACAGAATTCCTTTCAGACGAACGTTACCACCGGTGTGATCTTAAGCGTACCCTCTCTCCTGTTTCCATCGTCAAGTAGTCCATCGCCTGATTCCCGATTTGTTAAGGAGGTAACAATAGCCTTGGCCTCCCGACTGGCCCAGGTACCACATCAAGAAGCGGTATTAAAATCGTTAATGAAGATCCGGGATGCAATAGGCGTAGAAGAATTCGAGAGCTATCTGGAAGATTATGATAACAAATTGAAGAAAAATATTGAGATTTTATCAAAAATTTATAATGTAAAATCTAATAAAAAGAATTTAAAAAAAGGTACGGATGGAAAGAACGTGGAAAAAGTAGAGAAAAATTTGGAAGGTAAATGGGAAAACGATAGTGATACTTCTGGTATAGCTGAAGAAGAAGACGAGATTACTAGTATGCCAGCGGCCAGAGTGGTATTAGAAACAGAAATTAAGTTCAACGAGGAAACAGCCATCACTATGACGATTCTCGAAGAAAAGGATGATAGTGAAGACGAGCAGAATGCAGAAGAAAATGAAACAGATATAAAAAATGAGATTGAAGAGAGGGAAGATCTTGATAAAAAGAAGACACCTAGAAGAGTTCATTTTGGAGGTGAAATAGTTAAATTAAGGACTCCTGATAGTGATGATACGGAATCTGGAGAAACTACTCTTAAGACTAAGATTCCACTTCCGGTTTCACCTGTTACTAAAATGCCCATCAGCCGTCCTAGACCATCTTCTCAACCTTGTAGTCCTCACAGAGAGCCTAAAAAATATAGAAGAACATCCAGGTCTGTTTCTAATAGCCCCAAGAGAGAGATATATACGCATAATGCGGAATTGAGTCCTAAAAAGAGTATTCTTACTAGAACTAGTAGTCCATTTCTATTTAGTAATAACGCTGTTGATGAAACGAGGAAAAAGAAAAGTATAAATAGACAAGAAGATAAAGATAATATGTATAATATCGAATCTAGTGCAAACGATAAGAATGCGAAGATTGTTGAAATTGGTGGAAAAGTAGAAAAAATTAAAAAGGAAGAAGTTATGTTAGTACAAAATAGTCAAAATATTAATCCAAATATAAAAGTTAATCATTCTGAAAATGTTTCTTTAATAACAGAGACTTCTAAGAATGATTCAAAAATAGAATCTGACGATTTTGAAATGCAGAATAAAATAATTGATATTAAAGATAGCAAAGATAGTTTGGAAAATAAAACATCTGAAAATATTCAAAAGGACAATATGAAAGAAACAAATGAATCTTTAGAAATCAGTCAAAAAGTTGATTCTTTTTTCGGTTCAGTGGTGAAAAATGAAGTAGAACTAAAATATACAAAAGTAAATCAAGTAAATCAAGATGGAGTTATACGGAAAGATGTAAAATTAAAAAATGATAAAATGAATAGCTCGAGGAATGATAATAGTGATTATGTGTTGAAAAGTGTTATTTGTGAACAAATAAGTGAATACGATGAAGGAAGCGAAAGTATTATCAGAAAAAATAAAAATACTTATAGGTCTGACAAAATGGAATTTGTATCAGAAGAACCAAACTGGGAAGAATTAGGACTGGTTGATCACGAAGTATTGGAGGATCTGCATAACAAAGTAAGTTTTATAATTAGTAAAAAAATATAATTAGTAAAAAGTTTTATAATTACATATTTATTTATGCATTCATTACATATTTTTTTCAATGATTTTTTACACTTTTTTCAATAATTCAATATTTTTATTATCTTAATGGTTTTTATTATATATTAATTATCATTCAATTTTTTAAATATTTTTCAAATTATTATTATTATTCTCTTAATTTCTATTTTAAAATCTTTTCAAAACTTTTAATTTTTCAAATGTCAAATACTTGTTAAATTTTTTATTCCATTTAAAAAATTTTTGCTTCGTACTAATATCTATCAAATATTCATCATATTCTTACTTCTTACGAATACTTAATAATTTTAATTACTTCCTCCACGAATTCTTTTCATGCCAAGTATTCAATTTTAATCAAACTAATTATTTCCATCATGAATTAGATTTCTAGACACAGATATACATAGGTATATTTCTAAACACAGATATACATATACAATAAATGGTTGAATTTTTTCAAAAAATTTTTTATTTTTTATTTTTTAGTTTTCTGAGAAATAATGTATAACATATATAATTTAATTTTTTGAATGTAATATGTGTATCAATTATCTTTTATCAAATTAAAATAAACAATACTTAATAAAAAAAAAGATATTTAATGTAAACATTCGACGCTAGTTACTCATGATTTCTACATTAATCAAATCCATCGAACACGTACACACGTACATATATATTGCATGCGATAGTTGCTTAAAATAAGAAAAAAGATGAATAAGGTAAGAACAACAAAACGAAGAGTCGATACACGCATAGGTGAGTCTAATTGATGCTTTAAATCACGTTATACCACGCGACGAACTTTTGCTATAGAAATCGATTGACCTAGTTCGGTGTAATATATCAGAACGATCTGTCCTAAAGTTGATGGTTTTCCTTTTAGTCGAATTAATGAGTGGAATAAGACGAAAAACTAATAAGATATGTTCGATTAAAATTGAGAAAATCACGCAATGTAATATTTGCTATTGTTTCTATTGATAAGGAATATATCAATAAAATATAATAATATTGTTAAGGACAATTTTATGAAAAAAATTGTCTTTTTTTCTAAGTTATGTGAATGTGATGGTAAAAATCACTTTTTTATGAAATAAATTACAAACATTGATTGAATGTTATATAATTAAATGAATTAAAATTAAAAAATATTATGTAAAATCTTTATCAAAAAATTTATTACAAAATATTACAAAATTGTTACATATTGATAATATTCATATGGTGAATAATCGAAAAGTTCAAAATCCAGCTTGAACTTCTCATATAACTTTTCTACCATATCTCTATTTAATTGGCTGAAATATATTTTCGATGCATTCGAGTGACTACGATTATGTTGCCATCTTGGTTTAATTATCCCTTGAAGATTTAATTTATGAATCGCATAAATTTGATCTTGATTTAATGTTTCTACCTATGAAACATAACAAATATGATAAAATATAAAAAAAAATTATTGGGGAATAAAAAATAATTGGAAAAAAGTATTGTCATATTTTATGTATTTCATTGTAATTCCCCAAAATTTAAATTTCGTAAAATTAATCCATATAAATTCTACCTTTGCAATTATGTCGTAATCTACAATGCAAAGTGCACAGAACCAATAATATGGCATCCAATGGTCATCTCCATAATTGGGCAAATCAGTATGAATTAAATATTGCACGAATTCACGGAAAGTTGGTTCAATTCCCGCTGGTGGAGGTACACCTTTCTGCCTGATCTCCTGATTCTTTTTGGGTCGTGTGAAGTTTGCCTCTTAAGAAGCAAGTGACATATCTCATTATTAACCTAATGTTTGAGCAATGAATACATTGCGGTCGATAAGTTTTCGTGACTCACCACGGTACTTTTCAACAATCTTGCTACCATATTTCTGATAAAAGTGAAGTGTCCCGTGTTCCCTTCCAGCCACAGAGTTTTCCAGCTTATCGCGATACGCGCTCAACAATCTTTCAAATGGGTGCCTTACCACTAGCAGTTTCTTCGTAGCCCTTAACGCCTATTTGAATTTCTTAGTTTAGTCTTTTTACAAGAATAGATATTAACGAGATTCAGAATGAAAGATTTTGAAATATATATATATATAATTCTAATGAAAATATGAAAGTTTCTATAAAAAGTTGAATTATATTATTCCATTTATAATTTAATTTATGATTCAATATATTTATTCCAGAAATTGTTAGGCTCGTGGTGAGTATTATATTTATTTATTATAGTGTTTTATTTACATTTATTATATAGATAAAATATATTTATTATTTATTATATAAATAAAACAATAAATAATTTTGCATTTTTTTTGTTCATTTATTTTTTTGTATTCGAAATTTGTATACAATATAATTCGCGCTATAAGCTAAGATAGATTATAGGTTAAGTTTAAAATATAAAATAGTAATATTTATAATTTATTCTTTTTAATAAATTATGTTTCATTATATCTCGTTGATCATATGATTTAGAATCAAATGTAATTCATATACAAATATTATGTTGTTTATTAATGAACAATACATTACCTCTTCTGCTTCTGGAAATTCGAGTTCCGGTATTATTCCTCTAGCAATGGTCGATATTTGCTTCTTTCCATTGTTCAACTCCTCCTCGGTAACATTCATTAAGAGACATAAATTGTAAATCCACGTTGTACTACCGGCTTTGTAAATTGGACAGTATGATAGATCGCGTGATCTGCGTGGCAAATAATGTACATAGATACACTGCTAATTGAATCAGTTATTGTTAGAATAATTACAATTTGATTTAAACACTATTTGTTAGTTATTCAATTAGTTATTCGATTTAAACACATATATTATGTATAATGATTAAGAAGTTATTTTTAGATTTTGTGAAAAAAACATAATTATTGATATTGATATTAAAATAATTAAGAAATTATAAAATATATATCGACAAATAATAATAATATAATAATAATAAATTATTAATATAATTTTTTATTATATTATTCTATTTAACTGATTTAAATGATTTATTTAACTAACCTGATAATATAAAAAACACTATATTGTGGTGCTGGTGGATGTTTAAATACGGATGGTTTATCAAATTCCTTGTATATTCCTAAATTATATTTTTTACATATATTTTTTACAATTAATAATCGTTTTAAATTTTCATTTTCTGTTTCGATCTAAAATAATAAATCTTGCTATTAAAATGCGTTTTTTTATTTAATTTTTTTTATCAAATCTTCTATTAATGTAAAAAAGTTTCTGATATAATTTATTTATTTGGTAAATTTATATTTATTTACGTACTAATAATCTGTTTAGATCTTTTAATTTTGTTTCATCTCTATCTTTATCGAGAAGAGATTTTATGATAAAAAAAATCAATCCACAAGCAATAGTATATTTCAAAATTTTTTTCAAAATTTTAATACGATTTCTGAACATGATTTTTATTTTATATAACTTATTTTATATAAAAAAATTATTATACATTATTATATAATATAAAAATTATTAAATACTCAATTTTCAATTAATTTTATTTATTTTATTGAAATATAACTAAAATATTACTAAAATATAATATTTAAATATAAAGATTATTAAAAATAATTATACATTGAAACTTATAAAAAAACAATGAATATGAAGAAAAATTATTAAAAAAGTTAATTGTTAAGAAAATTTTTTAATTATTAAAAACAAATATAACTTTATAAAATAAATAAAAAAAAAATTAAAAATTACACAGTATAGTTAAGAAAAATTTTATTTACTTTCACACATTAAAATTTTTCAAAATACCAAAAAATAATTTAGAAAAAGTTATTTAAAAAAACATTCTTAAAAATTATTTTCAAACTTATAATTTTACTTTAAAAAGAATATTTAAGAGAAGAATGAAATAAATATTATTTCTTTTCACTGGTAAAGCACTGACTGACCGGTTTCGTGTTAGCATTCTGACAGTGATGGATCTAGAATATTTTAAACCTGTAGCAAAAATGATAAAATTTTAATTCTATATATTAAATTTGCTAAGTAAATATTTCTGCTATATGTTTTATTTAAACATTAGAGAAAATATTCTTTTAATAATAATTCTAATAATTCTAACAAAGTTCTTAAGTATTTAAATTTTTTAAATAAAAAAATTTCTTACAAAAAGATACAAATTGAACAAATGTTCGTAACAAGAGAAATTTTTCCGGTCATGAAGGTTTTTTTGCATTATCAACTAGATTAAACTTATCTAATATTATCAAGTAAATTCCTGAAGTCAAGTTGAATGCATTTCGACACGAAGACTAGGAGACTCCGTTACATATTAATTTGGTTAGTTGGTATTTCGATGGTCAGATTGATAGTGGATAAAAATGTATTCTTATACTGAAATATAATCGTGTAAATTAAAAAAAAAATTCATATCATCATTATATTATACAAAGTAAATATAATTTACAAAAATATTTTATTATAAAATTTCAAAATTGAAAATAAAATTTTTACTGTGAATTATTATTTTAAAATTTTTATTATTTAGAAAATCTTTTATTGAAAAAATTATTAAATAAAAAAATATAAAAATATAAAAATATATAAATTTATATAAAAATCAAGAAATTTAAATTTTGTAATTATTATTTTTTTTTATATATTAGTGAATATTTGGTATAATTTTTTTAATATCAGTGATATTTATATGTATATGTACAAAATTGACTATATACAAGATATCTAAAAAAAACAGTGAAGTATTATTGTGATTATTAATATGAAGAAATGATGCGCTTAAAGTATCGTGAAAGTACTTTTTTTTCATTGAATGGAAGTTCAAGGTCATTCTAAATATTTCCATGAATATCACTGTACGTACTATATAATAAGAACTAAAAAAACTAAAAACTAAATCGTTTAATATTGATCCCCTATGTCATGTAATTCTCAGCAAAAGAAAAGAAGTTCTTTACACATGAATTAATGATTTATCTAACTTTTAAGTTAATTTATTTTTCTAGAAAAAATTATTTTTTTCGAAATTTATTATTTCAATTTATACATGGAATTTTAAAAATTATTCTATATATATCTGATTCTTTTAAACTTAGAAAGTGTAATTAGTTTAAATAAATAATTAATTTAAAATTTTTATATTTAAAAATTTTATTATTTTTAATTACACTTTAGATTACAAAATTTGTATCATATTATTTTTCTCTGTATTTTAACTGTATATTATATATACAATATATATATGACTTTAACTATTATATTTTTTATAGTTAATTTTATACTAACAGATATATATATATGTATATACAAGATAGTTTATATTAAATTAAATAAATTGCTATTTCAAAACAATCAATTTTAACAATTTATGATCATTTTATAATTATTCTATATTTTCAACGAGTTAAATATAATGTAAATAATATATATATATAAATAATATTATAAATATGGATTTATCACCACTGTTTTTATTTAAAATGTATGTATATATCATCCGCCTTATTTTAATTACCATTATTACCTTTTTTTTTATGGAATTTCTTCATTATCATAACTTCCATAAAGAATTACAGTATATTACTCGACTAGGATTAATCATATTTCTAACAGGTATTTTCTTTTGAACAATGTTCCCATCTTCGTGGCAATAAAACATTAGATGAATTATGCATGCTATTTCGTTTTCCAGCTGTCGGACACCATTGAAATAGTTCTAGACGTTGGAGGGCGCCAGTATGAATATTCCATGGATGAAAAATCGAGAAATTTCTTTATGCGTAATATTATACAGCGAGACTTGTGGATAATAAGAAAATAATTAGGAATTTTTTGCTTGCAAAACATCGATCTTCTACCTATTTTATTGATTGTATATTGTTCTTATATTTGATTCCATAATCTTATATTATTGATTCCATTGATATTTAGCAATTAAATAATGAAAATATATGAAATTTGTGTTACAAGGAAAAAAAACCTCATTGTAATTAAAAAAAATGATCTAGAATAAATCTTAGGTCTCATGAAATAGTAAAGTAACTTAAAAATAAACTAAAATGATAAAAATCAAATGTATACAGTATACGGATAAGAATATATATTTTACATTTTTAAAAGCTTATTGTTGCAATACAAAACTCAAATATAACAAAGTTTTATTTTAAAAAAAACTTTATTTAATAATTAATAAACTAAAATTTACCAAATAAATATTAATTAATAATTTAAAATTAATGTAAAATTCAATCTGGTTTAAATATTAATAATTAATAAAAATTTTATAATAATTAATATGATTGATTTATTTTTAAATATCTGATAAACTATTATTGATTGAGATTATGCATATATATATAAACATTATATTATAAAACATGTGATATAGAAAGATTGTTAGGTTTTACAATCTATATGTATTACTTATAAGAAGCATAAGAAATTGTCTGGCAAGAAATATATTAATCTCTTTAAACTTTAATTGTAATTTAGAAATTAAATAGATTAAAATCGATTAAATAGATTAAAATAGATTAAAAATCGAATGTAATTATTTTTTTTTATAATTATATTACAATTAAAAATAATAATAGTAATTTTATAAAAAGTATTTCCTGGATCATCATAAAAATATCACATCATAAATAATTTCTAACATCTATTAATTTTAGTTTCAAGGATGAATTAAGTTCGATAATTAAGTTATAATTGTCATTTCTAATAAAAAAATAATGATAGTAATTTTAAGATTAAATAAAAAGCGGTAATAAAACTCGAAGGAAAAAAAAAAGGTGTGAAATGTTATCTGATAAATTCAGGTAAAGGCATATATTCGTTTTATTAAATTAAAAAGATTTTATGTGATATATAATATCATTATTCTTCATAGATTTAATAAGATTATAAAAAAATCGAGAATATATTAACCACTTCCGTGTAAATAGAGCCGAATCGTAAATGCAAATATTACCAGTGCATTGCATTCAGACTTGCTGCAACGATCGATAATGTTCAGTCGACGACTGCTGATTCTTGACCAACGACATTATTTATAAATAATATTTTTCATATTTTATATATATATAACGTAGTTTATATTTGGCAAAGAAGAATTCTTTATTATTCTTTAAATAAATATAATCTAAATATATTCTTTAAATAAATGTAATAATCTTCTTCTTTAAATAAATATAATAATCTTCTTTTTTAAATAAATTATAAATATGAAATGAAATTTGTGCAATATTATTAAAATGAAGATTAAGATGAATAATACTGAATTTTCGTAATAAATAGCAAATAAATAAAATTAAAAATTTTAAAAAAATTTATAAAAAAATTAATAAAAAAAAATTAGAAAAAAAGGAAAGAATTACAGTAAAACTTAGAAGAACGTTAGATTGGACAATTTACAATGTTAAATAATATTACAATATTCGATAATCATTAATCATTCCCATCACTGCGGAATTTCCTTTAAAAGATCATGAAACTTATGAAACTGTTTATTTTAACTCTTGACATTTTTTTTTTCTTTTTGTTCTTTTTTATATTCAGCAAAATATAAAGAATTTTTAACAATGATTGACTATATCAAAATCAAAATTTAATTCCATTAGTTCATTAAATGCTTGAATTCTGATTTTCGAGCATTTATTCAATTTTGATTAGATAGAAAAAGATATTGATGTAAATATAAAAAATATAATGTCTTAAAATCAAACAAAATATTTTTATAGAATTTTGTTCATATATTCTCTATTCTTTATCGAAAAATTTAAAATTCATTTATTTTATTAAAAAAAAAAAAATAAAGAAAAAGAAAGAGAGAAAAAAATACAAAATATAATTTAATTAACTTAATCAAATATGATATATATTTCTATAAAATTAAATAATCATTCCAGGATGATTGGCGTGCTCGTGTCAGAGGTTTAGAGAGAGTAGCGTCCGCTTTGCGAACGTCTTCTGCTCTAATCGCGATAGAACCCCGATTAGGATCTCTTTTGCATGCAGTACTAGGCTGTGAAAGGAGCTGTCGTGTAGCTGCTGCTGGGTTAGCTGTGGCGAAGGTAACTCGCAAATTTACCTTCAAATCAATCTAACTGTTTTACTCATTCTATTGCTTTGTTATTTTTTGAGTTACTGAAGTATTTTATTGTTAATTTTGGATCAAATGATTTATTTCATTTATTTATAATGAAAGTAATGATTTTATTTTTGTATTATATGATATTGTTTACATTGATTGTGAATTATTGATTATGAATTGCCGTTAAATTTTTCTATCCTAAATTGTGTATAGTAATATATGCACTAATATTTAAAAAAATTTTAAAAAATTTAAAAAAAATAAATACTTTAAAAATTATATTTTGAAATTTTTTAACATCAACATAGATGCAGCTTTAAATTGTTAAGCACTTTTTAAG